TGGCTGTTTTATATTTGCATTTATAAGTTTTATTCCTTAACTATTGCTTCTGAAAGAGGTTTCACTTCAACTTCTCAGTTCAGTACTGTTTAGGAAGATATTTTAATGATTTTTAAGCTATTAGAGCTTCTACTTTGGTCATGACAAGAATAAATGATCAGTAGTGATGCAGAATACCCCATGTTGCTGTAAGACTAGCAACCCAAGATGCACAAATTTGCTGTGTTTGCCTCCCATCTTTTTATCCTTGGGGCTTGGCATTTGCAATTAGAAATATTAACCTTGCAGTACACCCCACAACTCTTTGACTTCATGTCAACAGCTTCTGTCTGATCTTTAAATATATTGTTTCAGAATGATCTTCAAGTTCCTGATTTTGTTTTGTTTTGTTTTTCTGCCTGAAGTATTCCAGTGTGCGTTCTTGAATTACCTGTCTTTGAATAAATGGTGTTTCCATTCCTAGGAAAAGAAAGTAAAAAAGGACAAATGAGGCACTAAAGCCCTTTATTAGAATTGTGTCGGAGAAGAACTGGGGAGTTTCGAGTCTTATAAATGAAAGTAGGTTTCTGGAGTGGACAGAGGAAAAGCACCTTATGGTGTATCTGGATCTATTTCTCAAAGGCTTTGAAGGTTATAATTAGTTGCTACTGAATCACATGGCTGTGGGGCTTCCACAGCTTTATTTCTGGTCTACAGTCCTTCAGTCAGAGAATAGGTTAGATCCAGGCAAGGCCTGTGCATTTTTATTTGCTCGCTTCCTGAAGACCACCGGTACTCTGACTTGAGGACCACCTTATACTTCCGCCGTCAAGCATAGAGAGCGGTGTTTGCCAAGCTGCCTTGGACCAGCTTGATGGTGGCAGGCTTATGAGAACGCTGTGAAACGTCAAGAACACTTCCCTGTGCCAGTTACATCTGAGTAGTGAGTTGGAAGGACACATGATGAAGCTGTGATTTATCTGCTTTCTTCTTCCCGGGCGGAAAAACTGAGGCGTCACGGACCCGTGGAATTCTGAGCGCAGAAAATGGGTGGGCAGACTGTGTCAGTGCAGCCTGGTATTCTGGAGACAGAAAAAGAGCAGCTTATGTCCATAACGACTTTCCTCAGCTCTAATATGTACATTGCAAAACCTTAACATAATTCTAGATGTTCCTTAAATATGTCTTCAGGAGTTTGTCAAACTTGGATGATGAGATGTGGGGTTTCCTGTCAAAATCCTGTGTTTTGAAATCCGCAAACTGTTAAGTGTAAACTGAACAAACCAACCACCCAAAATAAGTAGTGTGAAGAATAACAAATAATTAGGGGTCTAGAGGTTTCATGTTAAAAGGAGCAGTCCCATGAGGCATAACTTACTGTAGAATGAATCACCTTTCCCCTTGCAGCCATTAACATGGGTGGTGCTTGAAGTCTAGTTATCTAAAGGAATTCTGTTTGACCTTGAGGGGCCTGGAGATATGGCATGGGGCTAGGAGAGGAGGGTACTCATTTGATTTGTAGATTGATCTCCTGACCTTTTTAAAATTAGCCTTTCTTTTTAGGTAGCTCAGAAACTTCCTTTTCTGCTTTGATTCTGCAGATTTGGTAAGTGAGAAAAAATATTGCTGATCTCATAATCGCAGTATTATTAAGTGAGGTAAGTAGTTTTGAGATCAAGGCTTTTAACTTTAAATCATAATTTTGTATCCAGGGTCTAGGTTAGCCTCTTCGTGTTGGTGCTGTTCTGCGTAGATGAAAGAGTCAAATATGCAAGGCTTCGTGTCTCATCTTTTTTGGTTTCTTGTAGGATTATCGTCTGCTGCAAAAACATACTCTCTGGCTGATGGATAGGGGGTGGTCTTCCTCAGGTCCAGTTTTCTTCATGTCTATCCTCTCTTCCCTTCATCTCCTCTTGCTCTTGCTTTCTGCACTTACGTTCATCCAAGTCTCATAAACATATCAAGTTTCTATTTGATTGTTTGGGCCATGCCAGCAATTTCTGTTTTCTTCTTCTGTCAGCATCTTCAGGAGAAATGTGTGCACAAAGGAAAAATGGCTTTCAAAGTAGGCTACATCCTCATTTCAGTATTGGTGCAGACATCAAATTGAAGGCCATTCAGCTCTACCTGCTACTGGTTCTCTCAGCAGCCTGGAGATTAACCTCTTCTAAGGCTTTGAGCTATTTTTGAGGTTGAGACTGCACCAACATTAAAGCTAGAACCCATTAGAAAATCACTTTCATCATCTCTTATTTTTTCCATATCAGTGGCTCTTTTTTCTGATCTCCTAACCCTTTAATCTCCTTTGTAGCAGAACAAGGAGATTGTTAATTTGTGTTTGTATCCAATGCGGTTAGCATCCTTGATAAGAGCGTTAGAAGACACCAAAATACTAGAAAACTGAATTGGGGGATGAATTTCATCTTAGGTGAATGACTTAATGCTGAAGGTGCCCGCTTTCCTTGTTCACAACCATAATTTTTGTTGATACGGAGCAAACCAGGCAGGCTCAGGCTTTCCAAAAGACACACAGCAGAAAGCCTTTTGTTGCATTATTTCTAAAGGCCTGAAGATTTGAAGGGAAGAGATTTTGTTTTCCTCCAAGCTACACAATGGAGCTTTCAGAGAACCTCTTTTAAAAGGAATAGCTACAGCCTTTGTGTTGAAGGGTGTGTCCGTTGGCAGGGTCTGCTGATGCAGACAGACTGGCTGGTGATTAACAAAGGTCATTAGACTTTGGAATCTGGCAAGCAGCATAGGATGGTATGTCTTCTGCGTGTGGAAGGATGACTCCCAAGAAGCCAAGGCTTCTGGAGGTCCCCCTAGAACACCCCCAAATCTTGCTGTAGAGCAGTGTCTGGTCCTGGGTCACCCTGTTCTAACTACTGCTCTGCTGGAACTAACAAACCAGCATATCAATCATGGAATAAAAGAACCTTTGGAGATCTTGGTGAATGACATTTGAGGAGGAGAAAGGTGCTGCTTTTCGGAAAGAAATGAAAACAGTTAATTCTTTGTTGGGAAGAGAAGAGCATAGGAGGAGCCCAGTCTGCCCTTCTAGCATTCACTTCTGATTGTCAGCCTAGCAGAATCCAAGAGAAGCCATGTTGTGCACGGAGGAGAAGCTCTGAGCTAAAATGGCTGCTCCTAAAGCTCAGAGGACTAGGGCAGCTTAGTGAGTCTTAGAGCTTCAGTGACGCAGGAGCTCCTATCTCTTGAAAGTGTGATAAACGCATTCAGCAGAGCTGTGGCTTGTTTGGCTGAGATGAAAGGACTAAGCTTGGGGGATGGGGAGTGCACACTGGATGATCTGCTTTTTTCTGTAAAGTGTTCTAAATGCAGGAGTCGTCTGCACCATGGAAAAATTTGTTTTCAGGTCTAATGGACTGTGCGAAAGGAGAAGTGGGGTGGGGCCTCAGTGACTGCTGTAATTTGATCCAGAGCTGATAGCAACCTCTTCCACACAATTTGGGTTGGTGCTTAGACATAAAAGCTTGTGTATCTGGAATATTGAGACTTAGTTAGTTGAAAGGACTCTGGTGCAGAGTTCAATGTTTATTGAAAAAGGATAAATTGCTGGGTGAAAGAGGAGGAGGTAAATATCTGCGTCTCACTCTGCAAGCTCAGGCTGTCCAGAGCTGGACTTGCCAGAAGTTATTTTAGCAGGCTACCAGGAGGAGCATTCTTTCATAGAAAATCCTCATGCCATGGCTCCTTGCACTGCGTTGACAGATTATTAGTGGACCTCATTCTTTCTGTAGAAATCATTTATCATTTATAAGAAAAGTATAGAAAACTGCATCATAAAATAGATATGGCTATAGCTTTAGTTCTTGGACATCTGGTTCTAGGTTACAGTGACTCACTTGAGTTTTGTGGTGAGCTTAATGAGGTAACTCATGCATTAAGATAATAACTGGGTAGCTCAATGTGGGAGATAGATTTAGATAGGAAGGACTACACACCTTTCTAACACCTTTTTGATTTCTTAATGGTGGAACTCTCCATTGGGTCAGTGTGAAGATTTTTGTATATTTCAGGCATATAAAAGCAGAATGAAGGTAGCTGGGCAAGTTTTGTTTTACTGCACATCCAGTTCATGGCTTTTTGCATTTCAGTGTACATTTCATGTTTGTAAAGGAAAGAAGTGGAAAAAGCCAGAGTTAGAGAACTTAGAAACCCTTCTTCAAATCTGCCGGCATAGGTTCTGTTGTCTTAATGTAAATTGAGGTGTCAAGGTACAACTTTAAACCAGAAACTGGATTGTCACCTAACGTTGGTTGTTTGAAACCCTCATGAGAAATATTTTATGACCTAATTAGATTGGAGAAGCTGTTAGATTTTAATTGGTAGGTAGTAAAAGAGCAAATAACCGTTTAGCTCTGAGAGAGAGAGAGAGAGAGAGAGAAGGAGAGAAGGAGAATCAACTAAAGCTTTGTGGAATGGAGAAAGGGGTATACTCCAGTATCAGTAAAGATATTAAAGATAATACAAGCAACAAAAGAAACTATCTACCACCACTCCTCAGATTCAATCCTGTCTACCATTTGTTGATAAAACACCAATGTGGTAACATGAGAACAGCTAAGGAGAATTGAGATTTGTCCTTTTTTCTGTATTGATATCTTCTTCTAAGAACATTCTAATTGAAAATGAACATGAGTTCAAGGCAGAACCAAAGCCAATAATAAGTTACCAAGACATGATTTTAGTGGAGAAACTCGGATGCTGCTAAAACTTTTGAAATATGAAGGGTTTCCTTGACAAGAGACATTTGAAGATGTATCAAGCCAGAAAATATTTATCTGGGTTTTCTTTTCTTCTTTGGAGTTATGCAGTCAAGGACATTGTCTCTATTATGTCTGATTGCCTCTCTTTGGCCAGTGTTCCAGTTGGCAAAGCCAAGCGAGAGAAATATGCTGATACTAGAAATATTTCCATTACTGAATGTGTAGCCCCTTCAGTCTGAGGTCTGTGATCAGTGCATTCCTTCTGATGCTTTGTTCTGACTTCTCCCCCAGGTTCCTAATGTGAGAGGATAGTCCCAGATCATGGAGGTGCTGCAGTGTGATGGCTGTGATTTCAGAGCCCCATCTTATGAAGATCTCAAGGCACACATCCAGGATGTCCACACGGCATTTCTGCAGCCAACTGATGTTGCTGAGGACAATGACAATGAGCCACGATCCGGGTCCATGAATGCCAGTAATCAGACAGAGGTGGAGTTTTCTTCTATAAAGGATGAATTTGCGATTGCAGAGGATTTATCAGGTGAATCTATACCAAACTCAGCATATCTGCTATGCTTTAATTACTCTCATTTATTTTTAGCCTGTAGCTACGGTTCTTGATATGTGTGGCTTCTACATTTTCTTACTCTTTACAAGCTAATTTCTTGTTGTTTGGGCATCGTTTTTCTCTTCTTGAGTCTCCTAGGTTATTATCCTTTCAGCTTCCTCATGTCTCCTACTTCTAATTTTGAGAACAAAGTAATAAATTGGGAAGTTATAGAGTAAATACTGCCTTCATGAACCTTGTATATTCAGAGCTATGCAGCTCATTTATGGAGATGAAGAATATATTGTAACTAAAGCTGTGCACTGCATCTTCATCAGTGAGAAGGTGGAATATATGTATGTTCATTAATGCTTCAGGAATACTCCTCAGGACTATGTCTTAAGACTTTAGGCCTTTTGAATGTGATGTTTATTAATGAAGAATAATTGGCATGGTACTGATTTGCATGATTGAATTTCTTAATTCTCTTTTGCTTCCCTTTTCTGACTTTCCTTATGCATTCTCTTTAGGTCAAAATGCAGCTGCATTGGGGACCGGAAGTTACTATGGCCACAGTCCAGGATATTACGGTCAGCATATTGCCCCTAATCCCAAACCAACAAACAAGTTTTTTCAATGCAAGTTCTGCGTACGCTACTTCAGGTCAAAAAACCTCCTCATAGAACACACTAGGAAGGTGCATGGAGCCCAAGCTGAAGGGAGTTCAGCAGGACCCCCTGTCCCAGGATCCTTAAATTATAATATCATGATGCATGAGGGATTTGGAAAGGTCTTCTCTTGCCAGTTTTGCACATACAAGTCTCCAAGGAGGGCAAGAATAATTAAGCATCAGAAGATGTATCACAAAAACAATTTGAAGGAGACCGCAGCTCCTCCACCTGCTCCTGCTCCTATGCCAGATGCCGTGGTTCCGCCCATGTCTCTGCAAGACCCCTGCAAGGAACTGCCAGCAGAGGTGGTGGAGCGCAGCATCTTAGAATCCATGGTCAAACCTTTGACCAAGTCGAGAGGCAACTTTTGTTGTGAGTGGTGCAGCTACCAGACCCCCCGCCGAGAACGCTGGTGTGACCACATGATGAAGAAACACCGCAGTATGGTCAAGATTCTTTCCAGTCTCAGACAGCAACAAGAAGGGACTAATCTACCTGATGTGCAGAATAAAGGTGCCGCCAGTCCTACATCCAACTCTACATATCTGTCCATGAATGCTGCAAACCGGGAGATACCCAACACTAACGTCTCCAACTTCAGGGGCTCCATTGGCAACTCCATTATGAGACCCAATTCTTCTTCAGCTTCCAAATTTTCGCCCATGTCTTACCCTCAGATGAAGCCGAAGTCACCTCATAACTCTGGCCTCATTAACTTGTCAGAGAGATCCCGTTATGGAATGACTGACATGACCAATTCTTCTGCTGACCTGGAAACTAACAGCATGCTAAATGACTCTAGTTCTGATGAAGAGTTAAATGAAATAGACAGTGAGAACGGCTTAAATGCTATGGATCACCAGACATCAGCCCTATCTGCAGAACAGCTGATGGGTTCAGATGGAAACAAATTACTAGAGACCAAGGGCATTCCATTTAGAAGATTCATGAATAGGTTCCAGTGCCCCTTTTGTCCTTTCCTCACCATGCATCGACGTAGCATCTCTCGTCACATAGAAAACATCCACCTGTCTGGAAAGACAGCTGTCTACAAATGTGACGAATGTCCGTTTACTTGCAAGAGCTCATTAAAACTTGGGGCTCATAAACAGTGTCACACGGGTACAACGTCAGATTGGGATGCTGTGAACTCCCAGGGTGAAAGCATTTCTTCTTCGCTGAATGAAAGTGTGGTGTCTTACGAGAGCTCAAGCATCAATGGCAGAAAGGCAGGAGTATTGCTGGATCCTTTGCAGCAGCAGCAGCCGCCACAGCCACCGCCACCGCCGCCACCACCGCCGCCATCACAACCACTGCAGCAGCCACAGCCGCCCCAGCTCCAACCACCGCATCAGATGCCACCCCAGCCTCAGCCACCACCAACCCAACCACCACAGCCACCCACTCAAGCCCCCCCCTTGCACCCTTACAAGTGCACCATGTGTAATTACTCCACCACGACTCTGAAAGGGCTAAGAGTCCATCAGCAGCACAAACATTCATTTTGTGACAACTTGCCAAAATTTGAGGGGCAACCCTCGAGCCTACCACTGGAAAACGAGACAGACAGCCACCCTTCTTCCAGCAACACTGTGAAGAAAAGTCAGACCTCAATTCTTGGATTATCCTCCAAGAACAATTTTGTAGCAAAGGCCTCTAGGAAGCTTGCTAATGACTTTCCTCTCGATTTATCACCCGTGAAGAAAAGAACTAGGATCGACGAGATAGCAAGCAACCTGCAGAGCAAAATTAACCAAACCAAACAGCAGGAAGATGCAGTGATCAATGTTGAGGATGACGAGGAGGAAGAGGAAGACAATGAAGTGGAGATAGAGGTTGAGCTGGACAGGGAGGAAGAGCCAACAGAACCTATCATGGAGGTGCCCACTTCCTTTACAGCCCAGCAGATTTGGGTGAGAGACGCCAGTGAGCCCCAGAAGGAGCCCAACTTCAGAAGTGTCACCCATGATTACAATGCAACCAATGGGGCTGAGATTGAGCTCACCCTTTCTGAAGATGAAGAGGATTATTATGGCTCCTCAGCAAACATGAAAGATCATCAAGTTTCCAACACTGCTTTGCTGAATACCCAAACTCCTATCTATGGAACTGAGCACAACAATGAAAATACAGACTTTGGTGACTCTGGAAGGCTTTACTATTGCAAACACTGTGACTTTAACAACAAATCTGCCCGGAGTGTTAGCACTCACTACCAACGAATGCACCCGTACATTAAGTTCAGCTTTCGGTACATATTGGACCCCAATGACCACAGTGCAGTGTATAGGTGCCTGGAATGCTATATTGATTACACCAATTTTGAAGATCTCCAGCAGCATTATGGTGAACATCACCCTGAAGCCATGAATGTTCTCAACTTTGATCATTCGGACCTGATATACCGGTGTCGGTTTTGTTCCTACACAAGCCCAAATGTTAGAAGCCTGATGCCACATTACCAAAGAATGCATCCCACAGTGAAGATCAACAATGCAATGATATTTTCAAGTTATGTTGTGGAGCAGCAGGAAGGGCTGAACACAGAATCGCAGACCCTGAGGGAGATTCTGAATTCAGCTCCCAAGAACATGGCGACCTCCACTCCCGTGGGTCGCGGTGGTGGTCTGCCAGCTACGTTCAATAAAAGCACTCCTTCAAAGACCTTTACTCCAGAATGTGAAAACCAGAAGGACCCTTCAGTCAACACCGTTGTCGTTTACGACTGTGACGTTTGCTCATTCGCAAGCCCCAACATGCATTCTGTCTTGGTTCATTATCAGAAGAAACACCCTGAAGAAAAGGCCTCCTACTTTAGGATCCAGAAAACCATGCGCATGGTGTCTGTGGACAGGGGCTCTGCCCTTTCCCAATTATCATTTGAGGTGGGTGCTCCAATGTCTCCCAAAATGTCCAACATGGGTTCCCCACCCCCCCCACAACCCCCGCCACCAGACCTCAGTACTGAGCTTTACTACTGCAAACACTGTTCCTACAGCAATCGGTCAGTTGTGGGAGTGCTTGTTCACTACCAGAAAAGACACCCAGAAATAAAGGTTACTGCCAAATATATCAGGCAGGCTCCTCCCACAGCTGCAATGATGAGAGGGGCCGAAGGGCCACAAGGCTCTCCCCGGCCTCCTGCCCCCATGCAACAGCTGAACCGGAGCAGTTCTGAGAGAGATGGCCCTCCTGTGGAGAATGAGATGTTCTTTTGCCAGCACTGTGATTATGGGAACCGGACGGTCAAAGGTGTACTTATTCATTACCAGAAGAAGCACCGAGACTTCAAGGCCAATGCAGACGTGATCCGGCAGCACACAGCCACCATCCGAAGCCTCTGTGACCGGAACCAGAAGAAGCCTGCCAGTTGTGTCCTTCTCCCCACCTCTGGTGTGGAGCGGGACAAAACGAAACTCCGAGCATTGAAATGTAAGCAGTGCTCTTATACCTCCCCCTACTTCTATGCACTGAGGAAGCATATCAAGAAAGACCACCCTGCCCTGAAGGCCACGGTCACGTCCATCATGCGATGGGCATTTTTAGATGGCTTGATAGAAGCTGGCTACCACTGTGAGTGGTGCATCTATTCCCACCCAGAGCCCAATGGTTTGCTTCTGCATTACCAAAGGAGGCATCCAGAGCATTATGTTGATTATACTTACATGGCTACCAAACTCTGGGCTGGGCCAGACCCATCCCCTCCCTCTCTCACCATGCCAGCTGAAGCCAAAACATACAGATGCAGGGACTGTGTTTTTGAAGCGATGTCCATCTGGGACATCACTAATCATTACCAAGCATTCCACCCCTGGGCCATGAATGGTGATGAGTCAGTGCTGCTGGATATCATCAAGGAGAAAGACGGTGTGGAGAAGCCCCTCCTGTCACCTGAAGAGTTGGCAGGCCCTATGAATTGTGAAAATAGTATGCCCATCCCCCTCCCCGAGCAGGAATTAGAATGCTCAGAGGACGCACGACTCTCCCCAGAGAAAAGCATACACCTCACTTCGGCCAACCCCGCCATCTCCTCCACCCCCTACCAGTGCACAGTGTGCCAGTCGGAGTATAACAACTTGCACGGCCTCCTCACTCACTACGGGAAGAAGCACCCTGGCATGAAAGTGAAGGCTGCCGATTTCGCCCAGGACATTGACATCAACCCAGGTGCCGTCTACAAATGCAGGCATTGTCCCTATATCAACACTCGTATCCACGGCGTCTTGACCCACTACCAGAAGCGACACCCGGCCATCAAGGTGACCGCCGAGGATTTTGTGCACGACGTGGAGCAGTCTGCCGACATCTCCCAGAACGATGTGGAGGAGACCAGCAGGATTTTCAAGCAAGGGTATGGTGCCTACCGGTGCAAACTGTGTCCGTACACGCACGGCACTTTGGAGAAACTCAAAATCCACTATGAGAAGTACCACAATCAGCCTGAATTTGATGTCTTTTCCCCTTCGCCCCCGAAGCTGCCAGTCTCCCTCGAGCCTGAGATAACCACTGAAGTGAGCCCCTCCCAAATCTCCATGACTGAGGAGGAGGTGGGAGAGGAGCCTGTGTCCACTTCTCACTTCTCTACCTCGCACCTGGTCTCCCACACTGTGTTCCGGTGCCAGCTCTGCAAGTACTTCTGCTCCACGAGGAAGGGGATTGCCAGGCACTACCGGATCAAGCACAACAACGTCCGCGCCCAGCCCGAGGGCAAGAACAACCTCTTCAAGTGTGCCCTGTGTGCCTACACCAACCCCATCCGCAAAGGGCTGGCAGCCCACTACCAGAAGCGTCACGACATCGACGCGTATTATACCCACTGCCTGGCAGCATCCCGGACCATCAGCGACAAGCCCAACAAGGTGATCATCCCATCCCCACCCAAGGACGACTCCCCACAGCTGAGCGAGGAACTCCGGCGGGCTGTGGAGAAGAAAAAGTGCTCCTTGTGCTCCTTCCAGTCGTTCAGCAAGAAGGGTATTGTGTCCCATTACATGAAGCGCCACCCAGGGGTGTTCCCCAAGAAGCAGCACTCCAGCAAGCTGGGGGGCTACTTCACGGCCGTCTATGCAGACGAGCACGAGAAGCCCACGCTGATGGAGGAAGAGGAAAGAGGGAGCTTTGAGAAAGCCGAGGTGGAGGGGGAAGCTCAGGAAATCGAGTGGCTCCCGTTTCGCTGCATTAAATGCTTCAAGCTGTCCTTCAGCACCGCGGAGCTGCTGTGCATGCACTACACTGACCACCACAGCCGGGACCTAAAGAGGGACTTTGTCATCCTGGGCAACGGCCCCCGCTTGCAGAACTCTACCTACCAGTGTAAGCACTGTGATAGCAAATTGCAAAGCACAGCCGAGCTGACCTCACACTTGAACATTCACAATGAGGAATTCCAGAAGCGTGCCAAACGTCAGGAGAGGAGGAAACAGCTTTTGAGCAAGCAGAAATATGCAGATGGTGCTTTTGCAGATTTCAAACAAGAGAGGGTAAGGATATGTTTTGATTTCCCTTCCCCCAGGAGGCCTCTCATCACTGGTGCCCACATGCACTTCTTCGTTGCCAGCCAAACTGCTGCAGGCTTCCTAGTGACTTAGCTTGCCAGAGAGCTCAATAAGTCAATTAAACATTTCGAGCTTGATTATCCCCCATTCTATGCTCGCCCTCTCCAAGGTCCTGTTTCCCTCCCTCTCTCCCTCTGGCTCCTCCCATGGCTCCCCAGGGAAGGTTTGGGGTGGTTTCTATGTATGTCTTGCTGCCAAGTAGCCTGATCTGAAGCCTTGTTATACAACAGCGCCCGCTCTCTCCTAAGGCAGTCGTGGCTGTCTCTTGGTATCGTTAGCACTGCTCAGCCATGTCTTGGTCTTCAGTATTTGCCACAGGAACCTAACATCTCAAGGAGTAGATTATTTTATCAAGAAGTGCATTAATGGCGCAGCTGTGCAACACTTCACCTGCGTCGTTGAAACTGGTTTGCGAACCAGATAACTTAATGGCAGTGACGATGAGCTTCTGCACAGAAACCTTCTCTACTCACAAGCCGTAACATACCTGGGTTCCAGAGACTGTGTCTAATAGGCAATGTGCCATGACTGATAAGTTGGTATTTAAAAATACTCGCCTATATCTCCCTTGGTTTTTAACCTGCTAATCTGCTTTAAAATAAAGTAACAAAGTTATATGTGCCAGTATATGATAAATGCCTGCCTTTGAGGGAGGGCTTGGAGTACTGATGGCTACCACTGTATTTTACCAGCCTTTTGGTCACTTAGAAGAGGTGCCAAAGATCAAGGAGAGGAAAGTGGTGGGCTACAAGTGTAAATTCTGTGTGGAAGTGCACCCAACGCTCCGAGCCATCTGCAATCACCTCCGGAAGCACGTCCAGTACGGCAATGTTCCAGCCATGTCGGCTGCCGTGAAGGTGAGAAGGGGAGCTCTGGATGCCGATCTTGTGAGTGAGCGCCTCAAGTTCCTTATTAACCCCATTGCTTAAAGCAGCTCGGGAGGAGGACCATCTCAGAACGCAGCCATCCCTGAGTTCCATTCGCGTCAGTTTGGCGTGTTTTGATTTTTTTTTCCTTGCAGGTTGGATCTTCCTCACCTTTCTGTCCAGGTAAAGGTCAAGTTTTGGTCTTGTTTGCATCTCCTGTGGACAGTTTGGTGGACGCGGAAGGTCCCAGATTCTCGGCACAAGAAGCTTTGGGTCACCCTTTTATTGTGTGTTTAGTGCCATGATGTCTTGGTTCTTCCAAGTTGCCTGAACTCTTAAAAGGAATCAAGTGGGTTCTGTTCCTGTTACCTGCTCCTCCCGCTGCCTTACTGTTTCTACTCTCACGTGGTTGAGGATGCAAACAGCCCAGCACAATATGTCTTTGGCTTCTTATCTTGGGTTGTCTAGGGAATATAGGGGGCACTGATTAACCCACAAGCAAAACCCTTCAAGTCACACATGACCCTGACAGTTCTTTGACCTCGCTTGTCTGCTCCCTTCCCCACCTCATGTGATTCAGCCAAGTGTATGCCTTCCTTCTCTCCTGAACCTTTATTAAAACACCTGTTTTGAACATCATAATCTGAGTAGCCGTCATTGTTCATCCAGTATAATGCGGACCGCTACATTGGAGACTGGAGCTTTCTGTCCGGGCAGAACAGTGGCAACCCAGGGCCACCGGTAGGGTAGCTCCTTCCACATCACTGCAGTGTGCCCAGGCTTGTTTCCTGGAATCCAGCAAGAGAAAGTCACCATTCCAAGGAGCTGCCATGAAAAACAGGTGGCTTCAAACCAGGCTGCTACTTCATGTTCGCAATTAATTATGCAGCAACCTTCAGTTAAGGAGCAAAGTCACCAACTGTGGGTTGGGAGGCAGACAGCAGAATCTTTTGCTTTGCTTCATTTCCAAGTGATGGCCCAAGGCTCCTAAACGGCCAACCCACTGCTGTGTTCTCTTCCTTCCTTCCTTTCTCTGAGCCATAATCCTGTAACCCAACTTTATGTCAGTTTAGATGGGATCGCAGTTTGATTTTTAAGACCAGAAATGAGTGCCCTGTTGCAGATTGAGGGAGCCTCCTCACATTTCCCAGGCAGTGCTAGACTATGTCCAGCTACGTTCGCCTAAAGCCACTGCCATTGCATGAAGAAGGGCAGTCTGGCTTACCCTCACTTTAGGAGGAGCCAGAGAGGCAGGGGAGGAAGCAGTGACGAGAAATGCTGGTGATCTTGGGAGAATGCAGGGAGAAGAGGCAAACTGGGGACGATGACGTTGGATATTTATTTTGTTGGTGGGGCATGTGTGTGTGTGTGGTTCTCTTAGCAGGAGGCTGAAGACCCCTCCCACTACTTCCTGGATGGATTGGAAGCAGCCAGAGATGCCAGTGGAGCCCTGGTGGGCCGGGTGGATGGTGGACACTGCTTGCTTGATGGAATGTTGGAGGATGAAACCCGGCCGGGGGGATACCATTGCAGTCAATGTGACAGAGTCCTGATGTCCATGCAGGGGCTGCGTTCTCATGAGAGGAGCCACCTGGCCCTGGCCATGTTCACCCGAGAGGACAAGTACAGCTGCCAGTATTGCTCCTTTGTTTCTGCTTTCAGACACAAGTAAGTGCCGTTGGGTGGTCCCTGGGGGTTACTGGGAGGAGATTCATAGTAGAAGGCAGCTAAATGACAGCAGGAGAAGCTTGGATGAGTAAGAAGGCCGCACTGCTGGCTCAGACCTAGTGCTGTATTACCTGGATTCTCAGTCAACTCATCTGTAAAATGGGGCTAAGAACAGGAGTGACTGGATGGCATTAGATTTGGCAAATGCAGGCATTTTTAAAAAAGGAGAATTGGAGGAATTGCTATGATTTACCCCAAGAAGGATGCAGCTACAGAGCACAGATGAATTTACAGATGGATATGCTAACCATTCAGCCAAAATTTGGCCATTGTTTGAGGAAGTAACATTCTGTCTAGAAAATGGATTTGCTAAAGGGATAAAATTAGGACTACTAATCTATATGATCAAGGAATCACTGCTTGAGATTTAAAAAAAATAGGCAATGACAAAGTTTATGGACGCGAAAGAGTTGTTAAAAATATAGGGAAATTGCGAAGTGGGAGCTTCTTGTCACTTTCCACAGGGAGTGTGACTTTGTGGTATGTGTGTACAGTTCCATGGAGTGAGGGGCAGCGGGGCTGTTCGAAGAAGCCATGTTTCTTTATATATAAAGGATAAATATTTAATACTACATTCCCACAGCCTGGAAGAAAGTAACTGATTTCAAGACTGACGTGCTGTTTTATGGTAATTGAAAGTAAATGATGGGCTGTTAGCTTCTTTAAAAAGATGAAGTGCTAGTTAATAGTTGTGAAAAGCAGAAGGTAGTGTTTCTGTGGAGGTTAGGATAGATTACAAGCCTTCATTAAACATTGCCCAATATTTAATCTCTGTCATCAGGGTCATATGTTAGTGTACAACTTGTGTTTTCCCTTCGATCCATTAAGTATTTTTTGAACAGCATATATCACATTCTCTGACACGTAGTGGAACTTATGTGAATAAAGGAAGAAACCCTGCCCTGGGCACTTTACTTTTGGGGTAATATAAAGATGAATAGGACAAAGTCTGTCATCGAAGGGAATTTAGAGCCTAGGGTTATTATGAAGGAATCAAACAGATGAGGCAAACTTGTTAAAGAAAAGAAAGTAATGAGCAATTTCAATGAAGGGAAATGTTACATCCACTTTGGAAGAGTCAGAAAGGCTTTGTGGAATGCAGAGCATTTGAGTCAACTCTTAAAGTAGGAAGGTGAGACTTGAGCAGTTTGGAAAGGAGCTGTGTTGGGGAGAAAAAGGCAAGACCTCAAGGTGAGGAGGTTGTGCACCTCACGGGGGTCTCACTAGGGGTTCAGTTTAGCCAATTATTTTTTTGTGTGTGTGGTACCAGGAATCCAACTCATGACCTCGCACTTGCCAGGCAGACGCTGTGCAGCGGAGCTGTATCCCTGGCCCAATTTAACCAATTCTTAAGGAACATATAAAGGAATGTCAGGAAATAAGGTCTAAATGTTTGAGTAGAAACCCTATTTAGAGCCTTACAATGCCAAATTAGTACGTTAGTAGTTACATTACTGGTAAAAAATAAATAAATAAAAAAGTCTGGACTGAGTACAATAGCATGATCTCTAACATTAAATGCACTTCAATATATACCAGATACTATACTAAATAAATGTCTTTAAATATTACTTCTGTATATTCTCAAAACAACCTATGAGGAACAGTCCTATTATCTCCATTTTATGGATAAGAAAAGCAAAATCTAAAAGAGTTGAGTAACTTACCCAAGGTCACAAAACTTGTAAGTAATTGGCTGCGGTTTGATCCTGAGCAGTGTGACTCCAGAGTTTCTGTTCTTGGGTTGAAAAAAGATGGGAGAGATCAACTCAGAAGCAATGATAGTAGCTGATCCAAGAAGTTAAAGCATGGCACAGAGAACGAATCGGCTTGATTTAGAATGGACCTAATGTATGGGTTGAGGGAGTAAAATAAAGTACAAATAGCTCTAGTTTTCAGTCTATTTGAGAGGAAGAATGGTAGTGCCATTTAGAGAAACAGGGAAACAAAGAAGAGAATTTCAAAAAAAAAAGAAACAAAACAGGTTTGTATAACACAGGTTGTTTAAGATGGCTAAAGGCCATCAGGTGGAGGTGTCCAGAGGCAACTGAAAATGTTTCTTTGCAGCTCAGGAGAGAATTACATGTTTAAATGGTAAGCAGCAGTACTCTCATATAAGTCACAGAGAATGGAATTTAGCTTTCTGGGGTCCTGATACAAATTAGAGCTTCTTCCTGTACTTTGATAAATTTATTAGTTTTTAGACTAATAACTATTAGGACATACTGGGGGGGGGTCATTCTAATTAAATAACATCTTCATAAGTTGTTTCTAGAAGGCTGATATACAGCAGAGATGGTTGTGTTCATCAGAGGGATGACCAGCCTCTTAATCACGTGACTCTCCTTTTAAACACACTTGCACTGAGCCTCCATATTACTATAGATGCTGGAAACAAGACAGCTTACTCCCAGTAGGTCAGCTGGAAACCTCCTTTCTTTAGTGTTCTCAATCATAGTAGAATTAAACTTTTTTTATAAAGCCCCCTTTTAAGTACTTAATTTCTCCCATTCTTTAAAAAAAAAAAAAAGCTAGGTAGGTACTCTTACTGACTAGGCAAAAAGCATGAATTTACCCATCTTGTACCTGGTTTTTGGAGACCTTCTTTTAATTATTAGAGTCTGGAGAAGAGAAAATAAGTATCTGCCATAAGTGTTACACTTCCCATATATCTGTGTCCGAAAAGATCTCTTAATCTCTTTCTTTAGCTTTCTTTCCTCTTAGCTCACACCCATTTATATGGTGAGTGTCCTGAATAGAAAGTCAATAGAAGGACTTTGAGCAGCATAGAAGTGGGATGCCGGGAAGAGGACACTAAGACAATGTTGCATACACTTTTTAATCTTGTGATTTTCCTTTTTTTTCTCTTCCACATCAAGTTTGGATCGCCATATGCAAACCCACCATGGACACCATAAACCATTCCGATGCAAACTCTGCTCCTTCAAGTCCTCCTATAACAGCCGGCTGAAAACACATATACTCAAAGCACATGCTGGTGAGTTGGTATTTGGGCGCCACAAGTTTTTCAGTAGTTTGAAATATGTAATCTAGTGGTCTTTCTTGAGTGAAATTTTAAAAATGTCTTCATCTACACATGAGCAATTATTGAGATGAATGCAGATGGATTTTATTTTTACCTATTAAAGAAAACTAAAAAAAGTAGGACAGATTTAAGAACAATTACAAGTCAAAATAATCGTGCACATCATGTTCGATTCATGCTACTAACAGATTAGAATTAGGCTTTCTGAATTACTTAGCCTTGTTAATCGAATTGCAGAGTTATTGTCTCCACTAAAGATAATACTTAACTACATAAGGTTATAATTTTAAGGTAGTTTTCAAAGAAAAAGAACTTAAGGTATATGAGATTTCTCACTAGATGCCCCTAAATAACTCATTTCTTCAACTTTGGATTCCGGGTATCCAGGAACTGTGCTGGTCCTTAACATGTCATCATCTACCTTACTGTGCTCACTTCATGAACATCACTTACCTAAGGCTCTGCACTAAGCATGTTACAGGGATTATTTTATTCAGTCCTCGTGATAATCCTAAAGGGTAGATGCTGTGTAACTTCTCTTATGCCTTCTGTGGTACTTTATCATGCTTTGAACAGTGTTGTAAAAACTGCCCAGAACCTAGGTCATTCACTTTGGCCTCTGCTGTTACCTCATACAAATAGGACCATGTCTTTTTACTATCTCCTGCGTTGGGAGCCTGTTGAACTAGCTTATTACAGTAAAACTAACCCAGTCTCCCAACTGTCATAAGTGCCCCTGGGGATCAGAGATGGAACAGGGAAATTAGCTGTATGGACTTTTTTCTGTTAAGTATTTTTATGTCTCTAGGAATTTTAAAGTCTGTGGAATCAATGGAATCAGAGTTCAGCCCATCGTACTATAAATTATTCAGCTGGGACAGCATACTGATAAGTTTTTTTTTTCCCCCTAGGCCTCAGCCTTGTCAAAAGCACTTTTACCAGCTGGGAACTGGGTGAATGATTTGGCCTATGGGAAGGGCTTTGAAGAGTATTAGGGGTGCACACTGACTCCAGGGTGCTAAGCTAAAGTGCATGCTCTCGGAACTGACCAAGATGACTAGCCTCCCTCTCCTCACTGGCTCCCAAGAAGGAAGGAGACAATGGGAGCAGTGTAATTCCACTCTTGATACCTTGGAACCTTGGTCTCTGTGATAAGGCTTTGAGCCACTGAGAGAAACTTGGCTTGGAGAAAGGCCAGTGAATTTTCTAAAAGTCCCTCAGCTCATCTTGTCTAATTTAGGTGGACTATTTGGTATATTTCAGGATAAGCAGTGGCATGAACCAATCAAATAATCTGGATTGGAATTCTCTCTCAGGTTGTAGGACTCATAGCCACCCAGCAGATTCACACAATCAAGCCTGCATTTTAAAAGCAAAAACAAATAATGCAAGCACAGTGTATTAGTAAATACCATTGCCTACTACCGAGCATTACTGTCTAGCTTCTTGGCAGTGGTTGAGAGCACAAATGAATAGTGTTTCTGTTGGTATCCCCTGACTTCGAGCTTCTTTGCTTAGGCTATAGAATGTTGTATAATTCAAGGTTTTCTGAAGTTTTCAAGAATGCCTTGCAAATGCAGGCTCTGGGAGTCATCAGTGGTGAGAAGAAGGTTTAATTGTAGAACTTGGGTGCTGAGCTCTTTAGTAATTTGTTGGGGGTAGGAAAGTAGCCATTGCAGCTGCCTTACAACAAGGGTAGGTTTAGCTTCTGGTCCCTCTTTCACTTACTATTAATCTGCACATCACCAGCTCTGCCCATTTATTCTCACCATCCCACAGAACTTACATTGCTAAAGATCCTGTTTTCCCTGCTTCTTCCTCCTCTGATTTTCAACCTAGAAATACATTTTTAAAATACTTATTAGAGAAAATTTGAAAATAAAATATACTCAGTTCACAATTATTACCTATAGACCACAGTTGTTAACATTCAATATTTGCTTTCAATCATTTTCTCTCTCATTGTCTTTAACTTGTGATTATGATATAATCTAAAATATATTTTGCCTTTCTGTTTATTTTTAGTTTTCCATATTATCACATACTCTTCAAGAATTTAATTTAATGGTGATTTATCAAGATGTTTTTCTTTATAGCAGAGTAGCACTCTATCATATAAAAATACCACATCTTTTTATCCATTTCTCAGTTGATGGGCATTTGGGTTGTTTGCAAGATTTAGCTATGACAAATTGTGCTGCTATAAACATGTGTGCACATATATTGCTGTAGTACAATGTTTTCAATTCTTCTAGAGCAATACTCAGAAGGGGGATAGCTGGGTCCAGTGGAATCTCTAATCCTAGTTTTTTGAGGATTTTCACAGCGGTTGTACCAGTATAAACTCCTACCAACAGTGGAGAAGAATTCGTTTTTCCCTACAGCCCCACCAGCATTTGTTATTAGTTGACTTTTTGATGATAGACATTCTTTCTAGTGTGAGATGGAATCTCAGTGTTGTTTTAATTTGCATTTCTCAAATGACCAATGATGTTGAGCATTTTTTCATATGTTTATTTGCCATTTGTATGTCTTCATCTAAGCAGTGCATATTCATCTCAGATGCCCACTTTTGGATTGGGTCTTCACTGAAAGGAACAATTAGTGTGTATATTGTTTGATCAAATTTGCATGCTTATATCTTGTAATCTGAGCAACTACTTTGAAGATAACAATATACAATATAATAACCATTGTTAATTTCCTATTATCTTATTTTTGAAATTCTCCATTGTTTTTATTTTTTTTTCTCTCTTAAAAAAGATATGCATACATTTACTTCATCTGTTCCTTATATTTAAAAATTTAGGTTGCTTTATCCTTCTTTAAGCATAACTAATGCAAATTTCTAAAAATGGTTCTCTATATTAAAGGATATTTTCTTTTTTTTTTTTTAAAGGATATTTTCTTAATAGAGATTCTCAGATAGAATGATTGGGTTGGTTGCTAAATTGCTTCTGCTCTTCCTGAAAGCACAATTGTTTTCTGAAGTGATCATCTAATGTATGTCCAGCAACATACACATTCCTACTTCTTATCCTTAATTCTTAAAATATTAATTTAAAAGTTGAATCATGACAAAGGTATATCACACTCTTGTCTTAATTTGGTCACGGTGATCTGTGCTATATTTTAGTTTAAATGGGCCCCCCCCCTTTTTAAAGCATATTGATGATACACACCCTCCTTGTGTGTACAGTACAAGTCTTTCTATTAAATAAATGACTTATTTTGACCTATTTCTTCACTGTTGATTAGATAGGAAAATGAAGTCTATGGTTAGGTTTCTGAGTTGCTCAATGTGTGTGTGTGTGTGTGTGTGTTGAGTTGGTATGTGGTATATGACTGAGAATTGTACAGTAGACCTTGCACAGAATGACTGTGTGTTTGGAAATGCCATGAGTAGATCCTTAAATTAAGAATTAAGGACATTATTCTGTACACTTGAATGAAACCTGGCACAGCGATTTTTAATACACAGAGTTAGAAGAGGGCATGGGGAGCTGTTACAAAGAGTTAACAGACAGGTGGGTGGAGAATCACCTCTAAACTTCATCTCTACAGTGGAACATGTGATGAACAGTGACCAAGTCATGAGATTATGGAGTGGGTGGAGAAGTCTCATCTCTAGCAGGCCTTGTGCTTGTGATAATGGACAGGTGCTTGACTGTAAGGGTTCCTAGACCATGAAGCTCAGGAAGCTTGTTTCTCAAGTGAATTAACTGTATTATTTTGTTTTCTACCCCTGCCTTCTCCTCCTTACTCTGTGTCCTATCCTGACCCTTGCCACTGTTCCTTCCAGGTGAACATGCCTACAAGTGTTCTTGGTGCTCATTTTCCACCATGACAATCAGCCAGTTGAAGGAACACTCCCTCAAGGTCCATGGAAAAGCCCTGACCCTCCCCCGGCCACGAATTGTCAGCCTCCTCTCCTCACACACCCACCACTCCTCTCAAAAGGCTTCCCCAGCCGAAGAAGTGGAAGACTCCAATGGTAAACATGGGCTCCTGAGCTACACTTATGGTTGGGGAGGGCTGGGATCCATTGTCTTCCTCTTTCTAGAGTGGGCTGGGATCAGTTGTCTTTATTCTTTTAGAGGAACACAGTCTATGAAAACATGACAGCTCAAGTAAAGGAAGAAATGCACAAAGGTTGAGGTGGTCTAGAAAGTGGAGTTAAAGGTGAACGCTGAGCATCTGGGAGATACCTTTGTGAAAACATCCGTGGGTACCGAGGGAGCAGTGCCCGTGGAAGGGGCACACTACTTGGGGGTAGGATGCGTCGGTCTTGGATTCTTCTACTGTGGGTTCGAGCAAGCCAGGATCGAAATGCCAGGCAGATATTTTTGTTTGCTTGTTTTCATTTATATCTTGTCTTAGAAAAATATTTGCTGTGAGGTGTTTGGTGTTTCATATGTGTAAGTTAACTACACAAAACTCAGTGTAGGAAGAAGAAGGGTGAAGGATCTGGGCAATCTGTCTGAGCAGGTCATGTGATACGTTAAGGGTACCATAATGATTTCTTAGAGCCAAAAGATGTTGAGTAGGCATTAGCCAGGAGGAAGGTTTAGCTGCCCAGTCTTGCAGCTTCCAAAGAAATACAGGAAAATATGGAGAGATTTGCTCATGTGCAATGTGACTGCGGCTTGTGCAGGCACGGTGTAGCGAACAAAGGGAGAGTTTATTGTTTTGATCAGACCAGAAAACAGACCTGTTTTGAGCACTTAGCTCACCTCAGATGACTGCTGAATCAGACGCTTAAAAGAAAAAAGATGAAGTCTGTAGATCCAGAAGTTGTGAAAGAGCTTGGAGCTGTTCCCCTCCAACTCCTTCCAAATGCTTCAATCCCTTCTGCAGTGTCTCATAACCAGTTATTCCCACAAGTGTACATACTTCCTAGATCAGGGAACTGGCTGTTACCAAGGTCCACTTTTCCATTCTTGGAAGTAGATGGGTAGATGGGAAAGAAGGTGGAATGAAAACCTGGATTTGAATCTTCTCACAATGCTAGTTACATTTTCTTGAGCAATTTTAGCTTCCTAAACCTGTATGAAGTTAGATCATGATATCTACCTTATGGGGTGTTTTGACAGATTAATGAGAAAACAGTGATATGTAAAATGACTAATAGAACATCTGACACATAGGAAGTATGGAATAATGGTCATTTTATTTCTGTGGTTTTCATTCTTTGCAATTCTGGCCTTTGGGGCCATTTAGAGCAAGTATGAAATTTGGCTAATTTTTGATGTAAGAGTTTAAAGTGAGAGACTTTTCGGGTGACCTCACGATCCGATGGTCTAACTTGTCAACGTGATCTAATTCCCTTATTATCAAAACAGTGAGTGAATAAACTTATTCACAAGGTCTGTGAGAAGGAAGAAATAGAAAGGTAAGTCCTGAGATGACAAAATGTCTTGATTGAGTTGTGCTTTGTGGCTATTCCTTGCAAAGTATTATATATAATATCAAGCACTATAGCTCTTTATTGGTATTGTGTCTTAAAGGACTCAAACTTAGGGCCGAGTGAAACTACTTGTGAAAGCATTAAAAAATGCACTCTTTGTACCTCGAATTTCTATTCTTTGTGGAAAAAATCGCTATGTTGCAACCAAAGAGTAAAATCTACTGTGACCTAAATGGTAAGATCTTTAGCAGCGTGATTTTTAATTAATTCTTTTCATCTGAAATGGAAACTACATTATAGAAACTGATACACAACATGGAAGCACCTGCACCATTCCTAGAAGAGACTCTTTTGTGGCATTTCATTCAGTGTCCCCTTCTTTGACCTTCTCCCTTGAAAGTTGAGTCCCAGTCACAGGACAGGGAAATCGCTGCTATAGATAACTCATCATATGGATCATTTTTCTCAGTGGAGGCTAAAAAGAGTTGAGTCCTATCATCTCCCTGAGTATGTACTCTCTGCCAAGTAGATGTCCTGAGCATCTACTCTCTTGAACAGGCACAGAACAATGAGAACAAATTCAGTAGTGTCCTGGCCCTCCAGTAATTTAAAATACAATGTTTAAAAGATATTTTCAACACTCATATCTGAACTAACCACAACCCCAAGTTTGAGGTCTAACCTTTTGTGGGGAGTTGACCTCAGATTCTTAGAAGCTGGACTGTGGAGTGTGGTGTCACAGAAACACCACAACAGTGTAACTCTCTGTATAACACAGACAGCCTATCTTTGCTCAGCCATGGGAAGATAATCTTAAAACACAGTAACTGAAAGCCCTGGGTGCTAGCCATGGCCTATGCAAAAGTCAGTGGACAGGTACTGTTTTTAACATATATGATAACCCAAATCAAAGAAGCAGGAGTGCTTAGTGTAATTTTATGACCAAAAAAGTTGATTAGAAGGTGGGGTAAATAGCAACAAAGCACCAAATGGGGTGTTCTCATGAAGGAATAATTTGTGATAAGAATAACTAATAGTTTATTTATTCAGTAAGTTGTTGTTGTTGTTGTTGTTTTTTAATCTTTACCGTAGCTCTTGCATTGTTTTGCATGGCCAGATATGGCTGAGGAGGACCACACTTAAGGGGACTATTTGCCAAGGAGCTGAAGGGTGGATTCCTAGAAACAGCTCGGTCCGGAGGATGGAAAAACAGCTGTGGGGCTAGACAGTAGCCTGTAAATCATGCTTTGAATGGTGTTTGAAACACATGTGAAATCCAATTGCATATTTTAATGGAGAGAAGCTGTGGGGCTATTGGCTCTCAGTTAAGGTTTCCCACACTGCAGATGCCAGGACACTGTGAACACACGAACCAAAAATGTGTTGCAGGCCTGGGGGAGTCGAGATTCATAAAACCAGGGAAATCACCAGTGTGTCCTTGGCTTTCTGAATCCCCTGTGAGGGGTGTGAATAAAAGGAGTTGACATGCTCGCTGTGCTTTGCAGTTGCACTGGTCAAATGCTTGTTGTCTTGAGAGCCAGCCAGCCCTTTCTGGAAGGAAGAAAGAGCCCAGATGGGAGGTTCTTCCCATGCTGTTCTCCTCCCAACCCAGGGGGAAGCTTGCAAGGAAGAGGGAAGCCGAGAAAGCAGAATTGAGAAGGTAGAGCTGATTCAAGGTGCCCGACCGCACACCTGTTCTGTACTTCGGTGAAGCTCCTGGGCTCTGAGCTGTCAGACTTGACATGTTTCACCAGCACATGAATCCTCTATATATTCGTCATGATCAGTTGTTGAAAGAAAAGCAGCGGCTGTATGGGATTGGTTTTGTGTATAGGGTAATGGGAAATGACATGTAATTGCTATTCAAAACAATGCATTAAGGGGAGACAATGAGGTTGTCAACAGAAGGAAGAGCTCTACTGTGTTTGTGTTTACCGTGTTCCTTCTCCTGCCATACAGAATGTAGGACTGGCTTTTATCAGGCTGTTTCCAAGTCTCTGCTTTCAATGCAGAAAAGTGCACATCCACGCGCAGCTATAAAATAACAAAGGAACTAGGACAGCATAGTCTAAGCATAAAAATTTGTTTAGGTCTGAAAAGCTACACAAGACATGGGCAGTGGATGTGTAATTTAAGTTTCAGTGGCATACTTCATAAGAAGTCAGGCCAGTGGTGACATTCCATCTTTGCCTGCCCTCAAATTTCCCTCAGCAAAAACCTATTTATTTGCTTTACCTATCCAATTATGCTGTGTGGAATTGTGAGCCTTAGCAAGTGACTACTACTATGGAATTGTTGGCCTTAGCATGTGACTGCTACTACTATTGTTATTTAAAACAACAATAAAAAAATCAGGTACCATGACTAGGTGCAAAATCAATAGGTAAATGAGTTTTTTTGCCCCGTCCTTCCTAGCAACCCGGAGAAAACACCAAGAAAACCTGGTCATGATGCCTCTCTCTTAATAATATAGATCTCCACCGAGTTCACCCAACAGAGAAATGTTTAATAGAAATTAAAAGAAAAATGTTGTATGTGATATTATCATTACAACTTTTCAGTTGCCTTTTCTAAACACTAGAATAGTATTTGATATATCTGTTTTTATCAAGACACTTCCTTTTTTTGTTTTTTTTTTTTGTTTTGTTTTTCGGTTTTTCTCCGGTACTGGGAACCAAACTCACGACCTTGTGCTTGCCAGGCAGGCGCTTTGCCGCTGAGCTAAATCCCCAGCCCCTCAAGACACTTCTTATTGAGGAACCACAGACATTTGTCATCTCATTATCAAAGTCCTGCACACCACACACAGTACCGACCATTTAGCCATTCTCCCCCCATTGCAGAGTGGCTTAAAACCTGTTACCTCCCATCTCTGTGCTTGCTACCCTCAGGTTTTAACTTCCTTGCACCCAGTTCAGTAAGATCTTCTGGGAGCTTAGAACGATTTCCTACCTTTCTGCTTCTTTCTATAAGTTAGTGACTTTCACTTCTTTCAAAGACTGATTTTTGTTCTATTGTTCCCAACCCTATTTTTATTGTTCTTCTCACTCTTCTTAGGGCTTTATTTGTATTTATAGTTATGCTATTTCCCCTGCCTCCTAATTTTTCCAGTGGGAATAGACAGTGAGATAGGTTCTTAGCAAATACTGTGTTCTTTTAATAGATCAGTGATCTGTTAGAGACATCCTAACTTTGTGACTCAGCTGACTGTACTGAGCCCCTAAACTTAATCGAGCTCTGTGGAACCACCTTTATACAAGGATAAGTTTGTCTCTCTTCTAGTTAAGCGATACTTTCAAAAGACAAATAATCTGAAGATAAAGCCTTAGGGACTGTCGAACAGAAACTTTCTGACGAAGTTATTCCACCAAGATGAAAAGATCTTCCATAAGATAGAGAGATTAAATGTTGCCATTGCTCTCTGTGCAATGAGAGGTTCTGTAGAGGTGGAAAACTGAAGGTGGAGACAGCTGTAAACCTGCCATCCCTCAGAAGGAGGTTGAACTGAGGTGGTGATGGAGGGGTAGACACTGTTAGGATGATTAGCAGGTAGCAGAACTGCTGGAACCACTGCGCACAATCACTGA